TTATTATTATTGTTATTATTATTATTATTATTATATTATTACAAAGATATATAGGTATGTGTAGTGTTTTTCTTTTTTGGGTGGCCTTTTGTAAGGGAACCCTTTCCTGTTTCTTGGCCTTCCCCTCAGCTTTGTATATATGTTAAGTTTGTTGAGAAAATGATTAAAGTAAAGTAAAGTAATTCAAATGAGTTTTCCGACTTTGAAAGTCGAACCGAAGTTAATTAAAAAAGATTTTCGGTGACTTCCATTCAACTATCACAAAACGGAATACGATGATGAGCTGGCAGAAATACTTGCTAGAACTCATGAGAACTCGACTTAAAAAAAATGATACCGAGGGCATTTTTCAATCATTTATCATCAGCCTTGTCCCAACCTTTTTTCGTTTTTTTCGCCATTTCCAGGGTTGTGCTGTCCTTCGATCTGCACCAGTAACGTAAAACGGTCATTTTAATTTGTGCCCACCTGCAACAAAAATGATTTATTGAGAGGCCACTCCAAAAGCACCGGCCCTTTTGTGCTGCATGTCTGTAACTTGTGAGCCTTTAGTTCTTCGTCATCTTTCGTCACCAAAGTTATGTCGCTTAAGTGACCTTGTTTTTGTCATATTTTGAGCCGTTTCATTGGTTCCACTCAAAAAAAGATCCTGTTCTGTGACAGCGATCAGTGACAGATCTTCCATTCTCGAATGAATAGCCTTGCTTCCGTGGATCGCGAGGAATCAACAGAGCATGAAAAGGAAAGCAAAACTGACAAATTTTGCGGTTCGCTGAAGGCGGCCAAGCCATACTTAGGAGATGTCATTTCACTTGGTGGAGAGGAAGGGGAGAGGCGCGAAGGCAGAATGAGGGTAGGATAAGTACGTGGACGAGATAAAAAAAGGCAAGAATGGGATGCAGACCTTTCTCACAATAAAAGGGACTGAGAAATGCAAAATTTGACAGTCTTGGAAGGTCTTCTGCGGTCAGAACATTTTTGAAATTCGTCGAGCCTCTTTCCCTCACGATTCTTTGAACTCGACATCTACCAAAGCGTCTCTGATGATTTCGTTCGTCTACTAGTTTCCAGTTCTTTTTTTCAGTTTTTTTTTTCAGAGGTTACGATTCACGAAGAAGAGGAGGAAACTGAGATCGAACAAGCACTTCCGTTTTCGATAAAGTTGAGTGATCGACTACAAATGGACAACATCTGAAGGAGTTCAGTCCACGAATTTGGTAATTTTTTTTCAAGAAGATGGAAGATTTGCAGCCTATTGTAGCTTCGGACCAAGCATCTACTTGTGTGGAGTTGATGAAGCGGCTCAACATGCAACGACAACAAAATTATTTATGCGATATAAAACTCGTGACGAACGACGACAAGGAGTGGATGGCTCATAGAAATGTTCTTTCCGCTGCGAGTCCGTTCTTCTGTAAGCTTCTTCAGAGCGACATGATGGAGAATCGAGAAGGTTTTGTTCGTTTCGAGGAAATCTCGGGATCTGTCATGAAAGATGTTTTGGAATTCATCTACACTGGAACTGTGGAAGTAACTCAGGAGAATGCCAAGGAGCTGATCGCGGCAGGTAACTATCTGATCATGCCGAGCTTGAAATCTCTTTCAGGGCGACTTCTGGAGGCAGAAATGTCCAACTCCAACTGCATTTCAACGTTTTACTTCGCCGAGAAATACGATTGCGAGGAGCTTGTGAACAACAGCAGAAAACTCGTCCTCGAAAACTTCCGTTTCGTAGCAGCACTGGATGAATTCCTTGAGTTGGAAGGTGAAGAAGTAGAGCGATGGCTTTCAAGTGACGAGATTTCTGTTGAAACGGAAGCTGATGTTTTTAAGATCGTACTTAATTGGATTGAACACTGCAAGAGCGAGCGAAAAGTAAAGTTCGAACAGTTGTTTCGCCACGTCAGACTGGATTTGATGTCGCGTGACTTCTTGATAGATGTCGTGACAAATGAACTTGTTCAAGATAGCTTTGCTTGTTTGAGGCTGACCTCCGCGGCTTTAAAAATGTCTAGTTTCTCGAGTGAAGTAGAAGTACTCCAAAAGCCGAGAAAAGAAGTCGAACTATACGCTTTCGTAGCGTGTGGAGGTAATCGCAATCTTTGTTATCTTCCCGGAAATGACCAGTGGAAACGACTGCCAGATGGAGGGAGGTCAGGCTACGCCCAAATGGTCAGCTACCGGGATAAGTTGTTTAGATTTCCTGGAGCTGGCCTTGTAGAGAGGTATGATCCAGTTTTTAATGCCTGGTCTGTGTTGGAATTGCTTGCAAACTCTCTCTAGGTGGCTATAGTTCGAGGAGAAATGTATGCAATTGAGTTTAAGACTTCTAGACAACAAACCATCGTCAAAATATACCATGTAGAGCAGTGTTCATGGGAGAAACTTCTTTCATCCAGTGAAGCCTGTAGAGAACAAACCTGTGTTGTTTCTTCTGGCAGTGATCTTTATGTTTTTGGTGGAAAGCTTCCAAAAACTAGAGAATATGTCACAAAAGCCGAGAGATTTGACACGGTGGGGAAAAGATGGGTGGAAATTGCGGAAATGCGGGAAGAAAGAGGTGACGCCTTTGGTGTGGCCACTAAAGACAAAATCTTTGTTGCTGGAGGAAAGCACAGAGAAGGAAACTCAGTGTTGCAAACTTGTGAGATGTACAGTATTTCAACTAATGAATGGCAACTCACTGGAAGCTTGATTGTTTCTCGCATGCGTGGTAGTATGGTGTGTCTGAATGGGAAACTTTATGTGTTAGGTGGAGAAAGAGAGGAAGACCGTCGTGAGTTGAAGATTGAGTGGTATAATCCTGAAGAGGGAAAATGGATCCATAAAACGACCATACCTGCACCACCAAGATATGATTACATTCAGGGAAGTGGGGTTTTAAACGGCTGTATACTTAAACTCTCCAAAGGAGTGCTGGACAAACTTCGGGTGGAAAAAAATTAGGACTGATTTGCACCATTGCACCATGAACATTGTCTTTGAAAGAGAAATGGTTTGAAGCGGTCCAATAAATAACAAGGAAAAGGAGACCAGCATCTGCTCAGGATAACTTACCAATCCTGATGGTCTCATAAGAAAGCTGTTATTTGGAATGTCACGCAATGGGGGATGCATTGCATGACAATCCAATGTAAGGTTTCGAAGGAGACTAACTTAAACTTTGCCCCCTAAAGATGCAGCTGACAGGATGCAACTTTATGGTAAAGATCAGTTCTCAGTCTGGTGTTATTCATGTTGTTTTAAATGAAGAGTTTTCTGTTCTCCAAGGTTGTAATTCATCAGTGTATGCTGATGACACTGTTATTTTTCTGAACTCAGTCACATATGGTGTTGCAATTAGAAAAAAACTTACCAGAACCTTAATTTAGTTTAATTGACTGGATATTTGGTTAAATTGGAACTTCAAGTGTAATGTGACTGTAATAAATGACTGAATAACTATAATCCTTATGAAAGAAACAACGTTTTTAGTTTAAAAAAAAAAAGTTTTTGGCATTCTTACATGTATGTCATCTTCAGTTGCAATAGGTTTGTTGTGTGATTTGAATTTTCTCTCAACAAACATGTCATGAACCTACAACAAAAGTTTTTGCTGCACAAAATGCTATATATTGTATTATATAACAATAATTACCTTTAGTATAATTTCAGAGCTAAGCAGAGTTTCCAGCAATCTGATTGGTCGATTGGTTCCTTTTATGATGCTATATAAACCGCTCCATGCGGTTTAAATTTAACAATTATTTGCCTCTGGTTCAGTGAATATCGTCGAATAATCCCCGAGACGAAGTCGAGGGGATTATTTGACAATATTCACCGAACCTGAGGCGAATAATTGTTTTAGTATAATTTCAGAGCTGAACAACAGAGAAATGTCTAAAATCATAACATTTTAGTAACATTTATTAACATTTTATTTTAACATTTTATATAAACCGCGTGGAGCGGTTTATATAGCGTCATATAAGGAACCGCTCGACCAATCAGATTGCTGGAAACTCTTTGCTCAGCTCTGAAATTATACTAA